TGGCTTGAGACCTGAATAGTCCGAATTACCTGGGAGTCAGTGTGCGAATGTGCAAACACAATGCCGAATTTACAACACACTTTCGGCCGAATTTGAGACATCGTTCGAGAGGATGAAATTATAGTTTTCAGGAGTTTCCATGTGCATATGGTGTCTGGCTGACTCACGTCCCCGCCACTCTAAACAGTGGGTCCGGATCCGGTTACATTACTCCTGCATTGAACAAGGGGCGCGTAGGTAAAAACAAGCTACTGCGGCTCATGAGGTTTATGAGTTTAGGGGTAGACCATTAAATCGAGTGGGGGTAATGGCAGAAAAACTATGCAAAATATTTGCTCTTTTACTTAGTTTTGTGCTATGAATTCGATGATTTACACTGTGTGTGATATTTTCCAATAAAAAAAAGATAGGCGTACACATTTGTTATTGATCCTTGCTGGAGTTTTTTTTAGTGTGCTTTTTTTTTAATTCTGTCATCGCTCCCTAAGTTTCTAGGGGTCAACCCTCAGCTATAATTCTGGATCTTATTTATTGCATTATGTAAAATAATTTTACCAAGGAGGTGTTAGTGTGAGCAATTCATAGCCCACGTTACGTACCTGCTCAAAATATTTACCCCAATTTAAGAGTTTTTTTTTCTTTGAAGGATGTGTACCCGAGTTTTTGACAAGTTGCCCTAGATCAGTGACATGGTGCTTGATTACATCTTGGGACAAACTTGAAGTCAGTTTAGGGCTTCGTGCACGTGAAGTAAATACGGTTTAAAGTAGATATAAGGTGGACTATCTCCATTATACTATTAATAATTATGTATGGGAGGTGGTTCGTGGTATTTCCAAGTTGCAATAGATGATGTTCCATTTTTGGATACCCCCCCGTTCCTGGGAGCGGTTTATAAATTCATTGATTGACGCATAAGGTGACTGATTCAAGTATTGCGTTTGTTTTATATACGATGTGTCAAACATGTTTATTTGACAATAATCGTTGAGCATTGTTAACTATTTATGCCTGGAGAGCTTGTTTATGTGGAAGTCACATATTTTGAGGCTATGCTAGATAAAAGGACGTTTTAAATGCACGTCGATATATCGGATTTAAATTCACTTGCAGCTAAATCGTCACTATGATGATTTAAATATACACCGACTTTATATGACATGTGTTTAAAGTCTGGTACCCGGGCAGGCGACTTGAAACTTGCAATAGAAAGTCAACCCCAAATGTGGATGTATTCTGAATAAGAGCGCTCTTCTAATCCGGGCTTTCTAAGCATTTAAGTTTTCGTATCGTATCACATTATACAAACCCACAATTCCTCCACATAACATTAAGTACGAAATTCTGGCGCGTATATGTACTGATTTGGAAATTAAACATTACTCCGAAAATTGATATTTTTATCTTTTCTTTTTATAAAAAACTTGAATACACATCAGTGAGAAACCCACGACACAAAAGTGTGCAGTATCATATATCATATATACACTTGAGGAGGTATGTCGTGAAGTAATATAGTTTTGCTGTAAAATAATATTTGTGTTGTCTAACTGTGGAATTTTGCCGTAAAATTGTGCAGTTATGCTGTAAAATTATGGAGTTTTACCGTGAAACAATATAGTTTTGCTGTAAAATAATATTTGTGTTGTCTAACTGTGGAATTTTGCCGTAAAATTGTGCAGTTTTGCCGTAAAATTATGGAGTTTTACCGTGAAACAATATAGTTTTGCTGTAAAATTGTGCAAATAATGGAGTTTTGTCGTGCAATATTAGAGTTTTGTCGTGATGAATTAACCATGTGCTGCCACTTGTGGGCCTCAGTAGTTATTTACGATGAGAAGAGAAAATAACGTCCATCCTTTGTAACTACAAGAATTTGTTAGATACGATTCGATTGTACAAATTATTGTGATTCACACTAATATTCATAGAAATGTATTACTCGATTTTGTTCTAATCCCGCCATCGTCAGTTTTATCGCAGGTGCTTTGTTTATATTTGTCTGGCAATGATACTCGACTTAACAACATAGGTTTGCATCAAAGAGCGTCATCAAAGTATACTACCAGTAACAACTGGGCGAAAAGAAATGACAACTCAGCATAGTCTACAATGGTGGTTACAGTGAGTGTAAAGTAATAATATTATGATTGTTTCCCTGATAAACAATTCGTATATTTACGATAGTGTGACAATAATGGCATTTACAGCCACCATACGTCATCCAGGCACGGTTTGGAAGAAAAAAACACCAACTTGAGTAAGAGTTTAGGCAAATACAAACTTTAAAACCAAACGAAGTTATTAATATAATTGGCTACAGAGGGCGATGTTGTTGGAGCTTCCATTTTGTTCTTCGTCACGTATGGCTTGCTGAAAGTGGCTTGGTTCTCCCTGTATATTGGTAGGTATAATTGCCTAACCTCATTAGCATTATCAGTCGTTAGTATACTGTCCACATTTCTAAGTTGTACAGTCGTCATATTGCATCAGAATTTTAGAAACTCGAAGCATGGTTTTTCTAGTTTGAAATCATGAATTTGATCGTGTTGACGGAAATTTACAGTCTCCCGACAAAAGTGCAGATTATCACAATGTAAGTATTTACGTTGTCAGATTTTCAACATCGTCAAATCTGGGTTGGCACCTGAATCTGGCACCTGAAACCCCAAGCGACGATAACTACAAACCCTAAAACCCAAAGGTTCATGGGTAGACACGTGTTTGTAAAAAAACGACACGGCTGTGGACGTCTGCTGTCGACTCCCTAGCTTTAAGTTTTTAAGGTATAATGTTATAACTCAACAACAAATTGGTATTTGTTAGTTGTGCTGTCCTAGTTGAAATATATCTTGTGTAGCCAATATATAAAATATATTTCTATTTCTGGGTATGCAAGAAAGGGGTATCGGACATATGACTTTGAAGTAATACACCGTGCTGCTGTATCCTTGCTGTAGTGTCTGTCTTTGCTACCAAATTAGATTTACTGTATACAATAACATAACCAGTGCCTGTCAACCAGTGTTGAATTTTCCCTTCCATATTTAATACAAATGAATGCAAATTTATAATTCATCATAATTATTCGTTTCAACAGTTTTGGATATATCTCAATTTGGATACAAGTAATCAAATTTTGGGTTTCCTAATCAATTCAAAATGTTACTTGGGAGAAAAATTGTAAAAAATGAAATAATGAAAAGTTTTGTTATTTTATGAAAAA